TTCAAACAGAGATAAACATTGTTAGTGTAATGATTTGCCACATGACCTTGCACTTGAAGTGCCAAGCAAACTGAAAAATAGCACATTCAAACAAAAAAAGTGCTGATTCTGATTCCCAAAATAATATTTTTCTAGATGGAACTGTTTCTGCTATGGACCAGCATGCACATACAGAGAGAAAGTTAAGATTTTCCCTCAGCAATATATGACATTTCCTTCTCAGCTTAGATAACTGAGAGTCTATTTGGGCTCGCTAAAAACACTTCTGCACGTCTGGGAGCAATACAGCTCAAAAGCAATTCATGAGGAAAGATAAGTCTTGCAGTCGAGGTAGAGGATTAAAAGGGAGAGTTCAGTTCAACTCTGTCTTGACCTCTGAGCCAGCCTCTTTCTCCCTCTGAGGTTCTCTTCCCATTTCCATGAGTCTATGTGGGTCAGGGGATCCCATTTGGCCAGAGACCCTTCCCATCTCCTGTGTCACCAGAGCCCTTGTTTTCCATGCATTTATAGACTGATATGAGGAGTGTGGAAAACAAGCAGGAGGAAATGAAAGCAACCCCAGTGGGAAGAAATCTGATATAACTGGCCTACTAAACAACCTGGAGGGTTTTATATGATGGCAGTGTTAAAAGCACTGGATAAAACCTGCTTGGGCAGGGCACAGACTATAAAATGGAAGGTGACACATTCTCCATCGTTGCTGGTTTGGGGATGGCGGGCATCTCAGGGGCAGCAAACCTCCTCTGCCTGTGTGTCAGGAACAGCTTCGTAAACTGCATACGCCTATGAAACCAACACCTTCAGAGAGCAGAGACCCTTTGCCACCCCGGGCCCAGTGCAGACTGGTGTCCTCCTTTGGAATTGGACTGTATGGCAAGGAAAACTGTGCTGAAGCATAAGTCATAGGCTGCCTAGGGACAGCTGCCATTACTGCCCTGACAAGTTGTATAACCCCAAGTGCCACATGCGCTCAGTAGTTAAAAGATACTAGTTTCCCAAACCAAGAGAAGTTACAAGTGAAACTAAGTGTAAAAAGTTATTAGGCAGAAGCACATATTAAATGGCCAAAAAGCCATTACTTCACAGCAAAGGAGCTAAATAATATTGGTGAAAAGCACATTCTCTTTCAATGGAAGAATGAAGGCAGGAATAACGAATTAAAAAGCAATATGCAACATATGGCAAAAAGGGGGAGTAATAAAAATCCATATAAATAAGAGTTTATGAGGTGTAGAAAATTGATAAAGGATACTAAAGACATCAGAAAAAACTTCATGGATGGTCAGACTTTGTTTAAGAAGAAGTATTTTCTTGAAAAGATTTGAATAATAGCAGAAAAACTATCAATACCATAGACTTATTACTAGCTGAAGACAGCCTGGTCATTAATAACAATGAAGAAAAACTCTAAACTGTTCAACAATTATTTCTGCTCTCTATTTGGAATAATGTATTTTCTGACACACTACTAATTAAGAAAGATATTGAACAACTTGCACTAGAGTTAACCATTTTTTAAATTGGAAGGTCCACAAAAGTGGCCCACAAGAGTCAATGAAGGATATTTTTAGCATGTGTACGTACTTTTTAATATTAATATTAATATTTTTTTTAAATGGGTAAATTCTCATAGTTCAATGTCAATATTGTGTAAAAATTCTGAGACAAATGAAACCATGCAGGTGAATATAGTCCAGTTTACTTGATATCAATATCAGGCTAAATAAATGAGAAACTAATTGAAGATTTAATTAATAAAGAGTTAGAAGAGAGGCATATAATTGACATGGTTCTACTGAGACCGAGTTTGTGATTTCAGACAGACCATCTGTTGTGGAAAGTGAGGTTGCTAGAGGGTAACCAGGCAGGACAGATCTGTCCGATGTGCAAAGCATCAGTGTGCAGGACACCCAGGGCCAAGGCAAGAAAGACCACAGCACTGCTTCCCTTCAGTGTGCAAGACAGATGCTGTAATTCCCATCTCCAGTTGCCCCCTAAAGCTGCAAGGGGTGGGTAGCCCCTGTGGTCGGAGCCACTCAGTGATGGGTGGCACGAAGGAAAAGCCACAGGAGCCAGGGACAAAGAGTGTGAAATGTCCCAGGTAGGCAGAAGGTGAAGGAGCCTAGTGGTTTCTGGTGGCAGGGGTAGCCCAGATGGCCAGGGCAGTGGATGCAAGGAGTCTGGGGCTGTGACGAAATGCAGGACACCAAGATAGGGTTGGGGGTCAGTGGGGCAGGAGGGGAGCGTGGAGGCAAGATCAGTAGAAAGGCAATGGGACAGGGAGCTTTGGGGTGGAATGAAGAATGTCTGAATTCAGCAATAAGATATAATTTTCTGGAAAAGCTGTGTCCTAGGCAAGGGATGAGACAGGCTCCCTTGGAAAAAAAGAGTCGGCTGTTGCACCGTGGTCCACTTTATTGCCACATGCATACAGTTCATGCGAAAAGCAAGCATTCAACATTGCCCAATGAATTTCAAATGCCTTTTCTGTTTTAATTTGTTGTTCTTTAACACAGAAAGTCATTCCAATAAATAAATAAGGTGATTGTGCAGAAATCTGTGAAGAAATAAATTAAGCAGGGGCAGGAAGCAGGGCAGTGTAGGTGTTTCAGGAAGTGAAGGGAGCAACTGGGCTGCAGGTTGCTCATATGGCAAAGAAAATAAAAAAGGAGAGAAGGAAAGGGACATGTTATGTAGACTATAGAAGCTTCATCAAATGTCCTTAGCTAGCTTTCATGAAATGATGAGTGTGTGGCTGAACTACCCTTCCAAAGGAGTGCTCCAGCAGATTAGCAGAGAATACAATGAAGGGTCATTTTTCTCTTGGAGCTGTTTAATTCCTTTCTTTTATTGAATCAGTGAATTGCAGATTTCGCTTATCAAAGGTTCAGGTTCCTTTGGAGCTCTCTGATGATGAGCCATATTCTGCGATGACTTCCATCCCAGGCAACCCCACCAAGTTCAATTACATCTTGGGGAGAAAAAAGCAGGACAGACGTTAGCTTGATGTTTTTAACAGTGTTGTGACCGCTAATGAAGCATGATCTGATCTGGTACAAGTTCAGACACTGCTGCCAGTGTCTGTCTTTAATGTGAAGATGCAATTGATACATCAGTACATCATGTATGCAGGAAAGTAGAACAACTTTTCTTTTTTGTTTGGTTTTGTTCCCATTGAGGAGTCACTCAGATAAAATATGCAAGAAACAGTTCAGACAGTTTTGGCAATGAAAAGGTTTCTTTTCCTCCCACTCCTGCCCCACCCGAAATTAAGGGATCTGGTTATTTTGTTAGTTAGCATGGGCAAGTTTTAAGACTCTCCTTATAAAATAAAGGATTGGAATTTTGCTGTTATAAAGAAGAATTGCAGAACTGGAAATGATCCATATTTAGGACATGAATGCAAGCTGTTATGCAGATCAAAGTATCTATTTGAAGCTGAATTACTCAACAGCATCTATCTATGCCTCTTCAACACCTGCAGATTAGCAATGTAATCATGTGGAGGTTGCTATAGCTACATCTCCAGAGCAGGTGGAGTTCTTCATCTCTTGGAGCATTATGTTCATTCTTTGCAAATAAACCATAGAAGAGTATATTTAAAATGCCACCCTAGCGGTATCAGCTCCTGTCTCTAGCTGAAACTGTCATGTCTGATCTGCGCTTACCCTATTAGTCCTGATTGTTTTCTCTAGAAACAATGCCACTTCCATCTGAGTATCGTGCCTTCCTTGTAAATATTTGTGAACAAGCACCAGGGCCTTGACAATCTAGACCTAGTAACATCATAAAGCAGGTGCTTGAGTTTAAGCTGAGAAAGACTGCTCAAGTATATCTAGCAAATATGTAGTCTTGCCTTAGGTTTGATGGCATGTAAGACTGTAAGCTGGAGCTAAATACAGCATGTAGCAAAACTACCAGCCTTCAGCAACAACATTTTCCAGAGTCGACCAAATGCTCAGACAGCAGGCGTGCTGGTTGTGATGGTTTTCAGCTGGTCTCTTTTAGAACAAAGGCTCTACTCATTTTTTTTCTCACTTTTTTTTTTTTTGTTTGTTTTTTTTTTTGCATTGAAAATTTCAGCCTTCTTGTTTGGGTTCTCTTGCTGTTTACTATAGCAAAGGGCTGTCCAGACGACCTTTCCTTCTAGCTGTCTATCTGCGGTGACTGATATATGCTGTAACCCTTAACCCTCTGCCAGTCAAGCCCACAACATTCTAACCTTTGTGAAAACTCAATAATAATCCCTGTGCAAAAATTTGATAGCCTAAAAGAAAAGCCCTGACAAGTAGAAAAGATACAGACAAGAAGCTAAGAAGAGAAAGTACCAAAGAGTAGATAAAAAACAAATCAAGGTGCTTTGACTTGTCTAATTTTGTCATTCTCCTTGTTTGTCTTTTGCTCTAGCTCTTCATCAAGTGCAAGCTTTTCATTCCGTAGTGAAGGTAGGGAAGGAGAGATTTCTTACTAAAAGTTGTCAACAGCAACAACAACATCAGAGGATGTTTTCCCTCCCTGGCAAATTCTAATTACTACACTAAAAAGCTCAATATCAGAAAATGCTCCAAACATAGCAATATTTCAATAGCTTTTCAATAGAAAGTTTGAGTTTTTCCTGGAAAGCGGATGCTGTTGAAAGGGCATTTAGCAAAGAAGTAGAAATTTTTGCCAATGCCCAACTTCATCCTTAGCACTGCTCTTTTTCCATTTTCTCCTTTTCCCTCCAGTTTATTTTTGTCCGTTAAGTCATCTCTCTGATACACTGACGCTTTAACTTTTTACAAATTACTGAAATATGTATGTTCCTCAGAGCCTGCTAACTTTTGTCTGCCCCAAAAAGCAGCGTTGTAAAATATATTCCTATAAATTCAGGCAGATAAAGATATGTCATGTTGCTTTGAAAGAAATCCATCTTCATGTCGATTGGTGCATTACATATCATAGAATCATAGTATGGTTTAGGTTGGAAAAGACCTTTGTTTTTCTCTCTGTGTCTTCAGGCTGTTTCCTTTCAGGAAGTTTCTTCTACATGTTCTGCAGACTGCTGGTACTGATGACGATAATGAAGAGGCCACTCATTAGGAGAGAGGCTTTTTAGTGATCAGTCTTTCCACTTACTTCAGGAATACTGTTGAAAAAGGTGAGCCAGACAAAGGTAGCATGGAGAAATTCACATCAACCTTGCCTTTCTTTTCTTCTGACACTGTCTTGGTCATAACCAGCAATCAAAACATTGCCAAAAGCAGCAGTATACATTCTGGCTTTGAAAAGGGTATGGCTTTAAGGCATAGAGGTGAAGCCGGCTACAGCATCATGTGCTGCAAGAAATATCTCCTCCTATCTAGGTGCCGAATTCCTGTCAGGATTGAGCCATTACAGAGCAGGAATTAAGCCTTGGTAAATGTAAGACCTGGGGAGAATGTGCCCAATGGACAACTATGAAAATTGATTTATTTGTTTTTTTCAAGCTTCAAGTCCAGAATTAGGGTTATTTATTTTTTTTCTCTTTGAGCTGTTTTTTCTCTAAGGTCTATTAAAATTTGTGAACTGGTAATTTTGTACTACACCAAATTAAGAGTAACATTTGCTCATTATTTAGCTGCCAGGAACTTAATTTTGCTTTTTGTGGCCTGCCTGACAAACAAGAGGTACACACAAATTTGCATGAACAAGGTTTTCAAAAGCAGCTGGCAATGTGGGCAACTGTGGTTCCCCACCCTGAGACTCCTGCAGTGGACTTCCTTCCCTGAAATGAAGCCTTCCTTATGACATCTCCAATCAAGCAAATAAAAGACATGCCCCATATCATTAGTCAGTTTTAAAGCAGACTACCTTAACCATCAAAACCAAAGAATGTGGTCTCAATAATTGCCAGTGTGCCCCAATTGTCCAGGGCACCTGAAGGACTTTTTCTGAAGGACAAAAACTCTTGCTGGGAAGTCTCCTGAATGACTTTGTTACAGAGAAAATAAAAGAAAGTCAATCTGTTTGAAGTGGTAGCAATCAGTACTTGGGCTGAGGCAGAATTTTGTTCCGTGCCTGAAAGAAATGCAAAGGAACAGAAAAGACCACAAAAAATGGCATCTGTTTCTTTGGAGGCGGAGCAGTGTTGGGGGAGGAAGTTAATCTCTATCCCTCAGTACAGCACTGTGCTCACAACTCCCTAACTGGGCTTGACCATGGGCCCTGTGCTGTGCCCTGCCCTGGGGGTCCATCAGTGGGAGAGTGGTCCCATGCTAACCTGTTACATCCACCACTGGCTGCTGGTGGGAGCCCCAGGCACACTGGCTGGCACCTTGCTGCCAGTGCTGATGTGCCCAGCAATTCAGAGGCCAAAGAGCTGCAGTGGGTTGCCGGCAATTCTCAGCACAGCTTCCTCTCTATTCCCATTGCTATGGAAATTGTTTCTGGAGGCAGCCCTAATTTTCCTTTCATCAATCAATTAGGGGCAGGCTTTGCACTGGGTTGTTTGTTTCCCCAGCACTGCTCCACTTGATATTACTTTCTTCATGATAAATTAACCACAGCTGGACCTGTCTGAAATTGCTAAGAATTCTCTTATATAAAGTGAAGAAAAAAAGAAAAAAAGAGACATACTAAGCATGAGAAGCAGGAATAAATTGATATTTCAAAGAGGAAGGAGTGGGAATAGCAGGGACCTGACAGCTGCCCAGGGAAAAGGATGTCCTCTGATTGCCTGTCTGGTCAGGTCCCACCATCTCCCAGAGTCAGGCAGGCTAACAGCGTGGTTCAAAATCCATAGCTCCTCTGTGTATTAGTGGTGACACTCCTTGTTATGCTGAGCTGTGTAAACAGCTAGGAGCTTTCTGGAAAAGTCCAGTTGTGAGGCTGTCACTTATTCCTTTACCACAGACTCAGCCAAGCCAAGGCTCCCATGTTTGACACAGGGACATGTCCTCTCATGGAATAAGAAAAGCAGGGGGAAAAAAAAGGTCTTTTTTTGCTACTATAAAAGTCTGGCACCAGGAGCTTTGAAATCATGTGCTCTTTTAAATCAAACAAACTTACTTTACATTTTCCCTCTGCCTTCCCCCATCTTCTATACTTACTTGCCACAACAGTCTCCCATAACATATTAACAGATTAAAAATAACCTTCTGCCACCCTTCATCTACTTTGGCCAATTTAAAACTAGACAAACTACCCCAGGCACTGTAGAGTAGAGGAAGCACTATGTGCACATGTGCATGCATAGGGCTCTGACCTAAAGGGAACAACTTTAATAGCAAGTGGCAAGAGGTTATTTTTATTTCCAAGATGTCCTATTTTGCACCCTCCTTTTTCAGATTTTTTTTTTCTCTTCTGCTGAGACAATCAGACAAAGGCCTAGAAAAGTAGTAATTACAGTTATTAAGTGACAGGAACAATGATTTCTGAACAACAGGACACAAAAATACTCTGTCAATGCATTCATCTTTGCTGAAGCGATCAGGTCCTAGTGATTAGAGCTGAGTGAGCAGCAGAGAGAAAAATGCATGGAAAGGAAGACTTGTGTTTTGAATTGACCCTGGGTGCAGATATTTCTCAAAATGTTGTGTGAAAATGGCTATTAACTACCAACTCTGCATCCCCCACCTCAGTATGGATTATTTTGAGGGGACCTTTGACACAGAGGCATCAGTGAGGGAACGAACACAGCATCATATGAAGAAGCAGCTACAGTCCTAAAGCAAGTGCAACCTATGCAGTGGCTGCACGTGCTTGCAAGGAAAGATGTAAGGAATACAAAGAATACAGGGGCTTGGAAATACATCTTAGTATCATACATGTTCTTGCAAAATTAAAATAACTGTAATGTCTGTAGGAGCAGGATGAGATTGGACAGGAGCAGAAAACCTGTGGAGTGTGGGGGAAAGAGACACTGTGTCCTCTGCTCACCCAGCAGCTGCATGGCTCAGAATGCCTGAGATCCAGCCATGCAGAGGGTGGAGGCAGAAACTGGACAAGAATAACCCCAGCACCCAATTGATACATGACATTCACCTGTAGAAAGGGCCACGTAGCTGGGCAATGGCCATCCCAGCTGATGGTCACCACTGGTTTTCTCCTATTATAGACCTCAGTATTCTCTTCAACATGTTGTCTCTTCAACGTCTTCGTAAATGACCTGGACACAGAGGCATACCAGGTAAGTTTCCTGATAAAACCAGGAGGAGCTGTCCACTACCTCAGAGGCAGAGAGACCCTGCAGAGAGACTTTGACAAATTAGAGGGCTGGGTAATCCCCCACTGTATGAAGTTTAACAAACACAAGTGCCATATTTTGCACCTGGGATGGGGCAACTCTGGATGTATGTACAGACTGCGGAATGAGATGCTGGAAAGCAGTGCTGTGGAAGGAGACCTGAGGGTCCTGGTCAATGGCAAATTGAATGAGTCAACAGTGCCCTGGCAGCCAGGAGGGCCAACCATGTCCTGGGGGGCATCACCAGATGGTAGAGGGAGGGGATTGTCCCACTCTGCTCTACACTGGTGTGGCCTCACCCTGAATATTGCGTGCAGTGTTGCGTGCCACAATATAAGGAAAACATTAAGCTCTTAGAGAGTGTCCAAAGGAGGGCAACAAAGATGGTGAAAGGCCTTGAGGGGAAGCCCTACGAGGAGCAGCTGAGGTCATTTGGTCTGTTCAGCCTGAAGCAGACTGAGGGGAGACCTCATTGCAGTCTACAACTTACTTGTGAGGGGAAAAGGAGAGTCAGGCACCACTCTGGTGACCAGTGACAGAACCCAAGGGAATGGACTGAAGTTGTGTCAGGGAAGGTTTAGGTTAAATATTAGGAAAATGTTTTTCAACTGGAAGGTGGTTGGGCACTGGAACCAGGAGAATGGGCTCATCACCAAGCCTGACAGAGTTTAAAAAGCGTTTGGACACTCTCAAGCATACGGGTGTGATGCTTGGGGTGGTCCTGTGCAAGGCCAGGAACTGGACTTTGATGATCCTGATAGGTCTCTACCAACTCAGGATATTTTGTGATTCTATGATTCACACAAAATGTTTTGTGTCACAACTTAAGATACAAATTCCTTTAGCAAGGATTTGGAGCAGATTTTTCTTGAGCATTTTTGCTTCAAAGATCGTTTGTGCTGGTTATTAAGCAGTGTTAACCAGGTTCAATCTATCTGGCAACTGGGCTGCAGGGTAAAATATAGAAATTTCTGGGTAACCTGAGTTGACAAAAAATCTGTTTCCCCATTGTTCTTCCTTGAGCACATACAAAAATCAATAGCTCAGAAAGCCCTTCAGTGCCTCTGTCCTCACATGAACTCAATTTTTTTCCCAGCTGCTGCTCATTTACCTACCAAGGCAACCAGATGCTTCCTGAGGTTTGCTGCCAATATTGTGTCATCAAAGGTGAACTGATGTCAAGACACAGCAGAGTACATGCTGAGAGACTGAGCTTATTCAGAAACCATGGTTTGCTTCCCCCAGTCTTCACACACATCTGTACTTATTCACCCATGCACATATTGCTGAAAGAGTACCTGGTATAGGGAGAACCATCTCCACAAACTGATGCATCCTGTCTGCTTCCCTCGTCCACAACTTCAGCCTTACAACTTCTGTGAGGTGCATCAAATTTCAGGGTAGACCAAAAGATGCTATTAATTTGGACCTGTTCAAGAACTGAACTTCATCACAAAGGCATCTCTGCTCAACCTGTCAACTAAGGACGGTTTGGAGGACTGCTTTCTCCTCTGACTTGGTAAAGAGTTGTTCATTTCATGTGGAAAAATAAAACATGTTATTAGACAAGTCTTGGACACTTAGCTCTCTTGTACTGCTTCATGGCTACATCTCTGGCATAAATCAAGGACTCTAAGTTGACCTAATGCCTGGCTTACTAGCTGCACAAAGCTTTCCATGACATATTTAGGAATTTTTTTTTTTCCTTCATCTGAATTTGAAAATATTTCCTGGCAATGGAGTATCAAATAAAAACTTTGAGATTGATGGACTTAGTTGTTTTTGTGTGGGGAAGCAAGGATGTTTCAGCTCTGACAATTGTACTTCAGATCCCCTAGTTAGTTAGCTGGTAATTTTCTTTCAGATTTAAATACTCTTCATGATAGTATTAAAATTGTAATTTTCAAATTTAGTGCACATTAGGACTTGTAAATTCTCCACTGGTACACTAACTAGGGGGAAATGCTCATTAATATCTCTTATTCTCTTACTAACAATAATTCTTAAGGCCTGTTCCACAAATACTTTGTGTAAAATGCTTAGTGGCAATTTCCTCAGAGCACTTTGGATTATTAAGGTGGCAACAGAAAATAGTTATAGCCTTGGCTTTTTTGATTTGCTTTGCCAAATCATTCAGCAAAAATATCAACGTCAAGATGGTAGCAGTCATCTCCCATTACCCACTCTGCAGCCCCAAACCAATAACTCCCATGTTTACTTCATGTAGGGACCAATTATTTTGAGGTATTATAAATTCTTTCAAAATTATGAAAATGTTGACATAATATTTTTCAGCTTTCAGCATTACTGAGCAACAACCAGAGTTCCCAGCAACACTGCGTTGGACAGCCCTGCTTGCTGGAAGAAGGTGAAGAAGGAGCTTCCTACTTGGGTACCTTGGGAGGGAAGTGACCGTTGTGGGTGGAGGCGTGCAGACAACACACCCAAAGTCCCACTGCTTTCCTGTGCAGGGAAATCCTTCAGCTTGACTGGAGTCAGAGGAAACCTGGTCTCTGTCCCCACACAAGGTCACACTGCAGTCCTGGGAATCAATTTTCCTGGATAAACCAGAGGTTTCCTCCCAGTGGACACTCCTTTGCTCTCTTTCTCTAGCAAGCAGCTTTGATTCAGGAAACTTTTTCTGCTGATTGGGTATCAGCTGATTGTTACTGGAGTGCTGGGGTACTGGAGAGTTGGATGATGAAATGCCTCACCTGTGGCTGCCCAATCTCATGCTGCTTCCTCTCTTCAATAATGCTCCCACACAGACATCCATTTACTTATCTAACCATGGGCTAACTTTTTGTCTGGTTTTTTTTTGAGCTGTTGTGGGATTTGTTTCCAGTAGGCGTATTACTTGATTAATGACCTTTCTGTTAACACTTGCTCATATTCCATATGGGATCTTCTTGGGCTATCTAAATGCACAAAATACTTAAACTAATTTTTTTTCTCAGCTCATCTCTGTTTTTAATAACACAATTTTTTTCTCCTACCTCCAAAGAAAAAAGAGCATTTTCTAGCTTGCTCAAGCTCACGTTGAATGTTTCTTGTGATTCATGTTGTCACTTATGCAGTATTCCAAGAAAACAGAGCATGGACAGGCTCTGTCAGGAAGGGTTTTGTAATCTATTTGTCATTTCTTTTCTGTATAGATTAAGGGCTAAATTTTGTGATGGCAGATGAATTTGTAGACCCCATCTCCTTGAAATCACGCCAGCTATTCAAAAGAGAGAAGCTGCTTTTCTTTCAACCCATGACGGTAGCGCTTTCCTGGATGCAAGTTGAAAAATATTTACATCATTATAAATAAGCAGGGTGTAACTATAAATAAAGAACACGGGTAATAAAGTGTTATCATTGAAGTTGAAATTAAAATTGGATCCTGCCAAGTCCTAAACATAGATCATGACAGAAAAATCCAATAAGGTTTGTTTGTTTGTTTGTTTGTAGGTGCTGTAATTATAGACTAGATAAAGGAAAGAAAAGATTATACAGCAGACATAATTTGTAATGATTACAGTAACATTTCTGATGCAATACCATGAAAAGAATGACTACTTGTGCATGGCATCCACACGTGCATCTACATCCCTCCTCAGGGAGGTACCCTCTGCAGCACTCACCTCATAACCTGAGACATGTCACAGCCTGTATGACCATGGGCTATGTGACCACAGACTGTATGACCGCAGGCCTGTTTCCAAAGAGTGTGCTCTGGTGGGCACTGGGTGACTCCTGCTAGGGTTGTCCCTGAACCTGACCCCATGCAGCTAGATCCCCCCACCCAGGGGAGCCCCTGTTGTATGGTAAATAAAGAAGCCCTGGAGTAGAGGGATGTTTCGACTGTCTCTAAATGCAAGACGTTCATCTTGAATTAAGTTACTTCTTTATCACCGGGGTTTGATCCGAGCACTGTGCCCTCCACTGGCAGAGCAGGAAAAGATTTGCATCCATTGGGAACATGGACCGTTGTGAAAAAGTGCAGTTGGGCGCAGAAAAGCCCTGAGAGATGTTCATGCAAAAACAGAAAGCATTTCGTTTTAGTTACCAAGAGTGAAGTCTCTTGTTACCTTTCTGGAAACCAAGGCTTGAGGCCAAAAGCAATTTCTTGTACTTCAATAACTGAAAATAAAGCCTTAAAAAAGAACATGTCAGGGAATTAAATGAGAACCACAAGTTTAGCTGGGCTAGTGATTGCCCTGGAGAATATTGAGGTGAAATGTATAGAAAAGAGGGGGTTAGAGACACAGTTAAGTGAATTACTAGTCCCATCTGTAACACCTGTCATAGTCCTGACTGCTGGGTATTTACTTTCAAAGAAATCAGCTTGCACTACTGTTTGATGAAGAGCCCTAAATCAGGTGTAGAGGTGCAATTACTGAAAATGAATCTGTCAGAGCAAATCTCAGGTAATCAAGGAGTCCTGTTTGGGCTCCCCTCCTGTACCCATCCATGCCTTAGGGATAACTGAAACCAATGTTCCTCAAATCTATTGGGAATGAGCAACACAGATACAAGGTAGACTTACTAAGAAGGTTAAAGAAACTTTAACATGTTTGCCACAGGCTGATAATGGCATCTGGGAGTCAGCCATCCACAGGGGCATGTCAAATGGTGTTTGTATCTCCTTGAAAAGAATCAGGATTATTTTAGTGCCAAACAGAAGACATAATCTGATGCAATTTTCAGAAGCACCATCAGCCCCTGATAGACAACATATGCCCACAGCTTCTCACGCCTTCCTGCAGTAGCGGGTATGTTCTGATAGGGTTTCAGTGCGCAGTGCATGACAGATGATTTGAAAACTGAGTATTCTTGAGGAATGGGCATGAGACTCGTTTGATTCTCTGAACTCAGTCCATTGACTAGTGTCCCTGAGCAAAGATGTTTTTTTCATTAACTAGATCTCTGTTTGGTTGTGCCTTTCTTATTATAGATGAGATTCCCCCCAGCTTGTCTTTCGTCTTTAAGCTATGCAAGTTTCTGTAGAAAATTATGCATGAATATATAAAAGGCTCTGGACAATATCAAGAAATGAGTATGCTAACATTTTTGTTTCTTGGACACATTTTGGTTGGGTTTAGTTTTTTGTTATGGTGATTTTGGTTTTTTGTTTTAATAAAATTTTGCTCAAAGGACTGCTGTTGTCTGAGTTTCTACAGTATGTGCTTGCTTTAGTCCCTGATCCACACAGCAAAGACACATGGAAGCTCAGTGAGCCATGGCTCCTGATTAACTGCAGGCAAATGTTTCAGAGCTCTCCTGAAGGCATGAACTGTTTTTCAGAGCAATGATTTCTGTACTGTCCCTTCTGTGAAACAAGCAGAAAAAAAAGACAGGTGTTGCCTTCTCACAGCCTCTGTCAGAATTACTCTGAACACTTTTGCCCCCAAAGGATATATTGCGCAGATGAAAATGCTAGCATGAAAGTTTAGGTTTGGCAAAGATTTTCAACATTTTTTTTGAAAGAAGATTTTTTTTTCCTTTATCTTCTCTCTTTTTATTCAAGTTTGGGCAAAAGGGAAAAATTTAAATGTAGCTGTTATATTTAATGAAAAATAATTTATTTTTCTTGCTTTTAAAATAAAAATCCCATTTTTAACTTCCAATTATTTATCCAAATATTTTTATTCTCTTCTGCACTCTGGACATCTGATTTGTATGAGGCAGTGCTGTATTTAACCTTACTAGCACTAAAAGCAATAAAACATAAAATGAATAGGTGAAAAGAGATAGCAAGTCCCAGTTGCAGAATTACCTGGAATGTTCTGAATCATGGGAAGAAGTCAATAAAATAAAATTTACCTAATATTGATGAATGTCACAGTAATACACCTGAAGAGAACAATCAACACAAATATTTAGAATACATAGGTTGGTAAAATACCTTGGGATTGTAGTAGGTAATGAAGACTGTAGGAGCTTACATTCTGAGGAAAGCAATCTCTGTTCCAGGGTGTATAGAGTAAAGAGGGAACTGCCATGTGACAAAAAGAGAGTGATGAGTGCAGCATTTTGCAGTCTGGGTAAGGCTAGAGCTGGAGAACAGCAAGCGATTTTAAGCCTCATTTTCTAAAAAGGACACTGAAAATTGTCAGAGGATGGGCAGCAGGAATGGTGAAGGGAACTGTAGATGGGGGTATGACGGAAAGCAATTCACAGGGCAGGAGGGAACCCCAGCTAGCACCAGGATGAGCACTAATGTGTGCTGTTACGATGGACCTTCCCTGCGTCAGAGATGGTAAAAGGGTCTCAAATTAAAAGTGGAACAATCCCATTTAGATACAAGAGAAATGAATTCATAATAAGGGCTACTACACAGGCAATAGAATAAACTGTCTGATGAGCAACTGAATATGAGTCACCACTGGTAAAAGGTTTCTAAGGCAAGACTGGAAAACGTAGCAGTGGGATTATCATAGAAGAGGCCTCTCAGCATCATCTGAGCATGGCTGATCTAAAAGCTCCTCTGTTGTTGTTTTCATCTGCAATTCTGGGATCTCAGAGGCTGCAAAAAAAATGACTCTACACACAACAGAAGAGGTGATACAGATGGTTTATTAATTAAATCCATCTGCCAAATGTGATAAGCCTAGACTGTGACTGGGACAAAAGGTCCAGCCCTGCAAGCCTCACCCCAGCTGTCCCATCTGCTTTACAAGCATTTGCAAGTGCAGGTCCAGAAGCTGGAGGTGCTGTGTTCAAAGTCATCCGCAGAGGTGGCTTTTACCACACGCATTTGCAAAGGCTGGCACAGCTCCTGCCTATTTTAAATCGTTTGCTTCTGGAATTTGCAATGCTTGTACCAGTTAAATACTAAATTATCATAAATGTAATTTACATGTTTCCCAAATAAGGGAATGCAAGTGGAGAAGAGGGTTTCTGAATGTTCATATTTCCAAATTAAAGGGATGTAAATGAGCCTGCTGTTCAATTCAGTGTGTAATGTGTTATTTCACGGTTGTCTCCTTGATATTACAGGCCCCTTTTACATTAGGCAATGTCACATCCCACCCAAATCACCATGAGATAAAGATGTTCCCCTTTAATGTAATAAAGGACAATGACAATATTCCAACAGAGAAAATAGCATGCGCACTGATTTGGTACAAATGCATCATCTCCTGCTGGAAATACTCCACTGTGTCCCCTCCACCACAACATGCAGTGCTGCATAGCATCTTTCAACAAAAAGCCCTTTGTGGTGAGGTTCCCACTGACACCTCATCCTTCCTTCAGCACCCCACATCATTCCGAGGAAGAAGCTGCTTCAGCTTCCCATGGAGCAGTTTGTCTCCTGACAGCACAGGTGTGATGTGGTGCTCAGATCAGTCTGCTTCTTGCCAGAGGATTTCTGCCCTGCTTGTTTTCCTCATGTTCTTATAGCCAAGCAGAGGGAAATTATAGGATGGCTCAAAATTCATTCATTCATTAGGTGTTGGTGACAAGTCTTCCCTCCCTCCCCAATTATCTTTAAAGGAAAAGGGGTTGCTGTCTATAGTGTGGTTAAAGGTACAGTGGGAGGAGATTGATTTGTTAGACTTTAAGGAAATTATTTTTTAGACTTTAAGTCAATCATAGCTCAGTCTAGACAACCATAAAACATCTTTACTTCACACCAATAGGTGAAATTTATAGACCTGTTCACTGGCAAGTGAAATGTTCCCACAGGTTGAAGGGAAATCTTGAAAGTTTCTTATTCATTTGAGGGGGAATGTGTTGCTCCTTGCTCTTCCCTCCCCAGATTTACTTTACATCAGACTGCCCCATAAATCTATTTCAGTGACAATCTTTGGTGGTGTTTAAAAGCAGAGAGCACATCCTGAAAGCATAGTGATTTAGGGATAGGCAGATCTCATACCTTGCTGCTTGTGCTAAGGTAAAAGCTGCAAGGCTGTCTTTGTCTTTTTTTTTTTTTTTTCTGTGGCCTCAGGGTTTTTCAGGTGGCAGAGGACAGCTCAGACAGCTGCTCTGACCAGTTTCTCACCTCTCTGATCTTCTGAGATCACCTCTTGGGGTGCCCACAGCACCAGGGCATCATAGCTGTTGCCTTACTTGCTGCCAGTACGCCATGGCCACCTCTCTACAGGGACCTGAATAAAAGTGGGAGAGTAGCCTCAGATTTGCATTACAGCCACTTTGCATTACAGTGACTGACTACCTCCCGTTGTTTTCACTGTGTGTCAGGCAGAGATTTCTCCCTCTTGCTGTCCCCAGAAGCTTTTAAACTGAGCTGCTGAAGAAGTGTCTTGGTTTGGGGGAGCTAACCCTCTCCTGTGTCTCAGTGGAAGCAGGCTCAGGACAAAATGAACTTGTTACTCTGGATCCCTTTCACTTTCTAGTATTTGCTTTGGCTGCACAAGTATAATTTTACCCAAAACACAGCTCCTGCTGTGATTTTTTCCAGCTTCCTTTGACAATATAAACAGCTAAATGATGGGAACTGCAAGGGCCACAGCCTGCAGATGACACACCGCAAACCAAATTCTGACCGGGTTGCTCTGTTGTAAATGCAGCTCCATGACACTTACAGATTCATACCAATGTATCTGAAAACACTCATTACCTTTAATATTACAATTTTTCTCCACAGCCAAGTTCGAGGCAATGTGCTGAAAGTACAAAACACTGAGTGCTTATGTCTTACACTGAGCTCTGCCATGGGTTTCATGTTAACTTATGATACACTGTCTTTCCTGTCTGAGAAGATGACGCTAAGACGCTGACTAGGGGATTGGCAGGTTGGTAAAATAATTTTTCTGGCTGTAAAACAGTGATATGACAAAACAAGCCTTTCCTAGGAATATATCTGTCATAATTATTTCTGTGTGGCAGTCAAGTTTATCTGGTCCAGAGGGAGATGTCCTATTTCATCAGAGAAGTGCTCTACCTCAGCAGCAGAGGAGTAAATGAAAAACAACTTCTTAGTGCTCCATGCAAGGCAACAGGGAGTTGGTAAGTGTTGTAATTCACAAAGGAGAAAGAAGTGAAGAGCACCTGTTTTCCACAATGTCACTGGGATGGATGAAGGGGCAGGATATCCTCTTGCACAAGATGACAGAACCAAAACAGACCCAAACCAAACCTGCATGAGCCAAAAGGGGGATACAGAAGTGCTGCTTCCATCTTCCAGCCAACTGCTCAGTTACAAATCCACAGAGCCCATCTCATCTCTGTCAATGTGAACATCTCCCTCCACAAGAGCAAAATGACTGCAAGCAACACAGTAGTTAGGGCACATTTAAATGCAAGGCCTACTCTGGTCTTAAAGGCAAGTCCCGCTCAGCTTGGATGTGCTTAACATATGGTGTGCTAGTGGTCTCCTGCTTTTTATTAGCGTTTTTGAAAGGCTGGATTTGCTTCTATTTCAGAATGGAAAAACCTTGGATTTTTTTAATGAACCCATATTTGGCTAGCCCTCATTCTGATCAGGATAACATACTTTAAGAGTTATTGATGAAGAGGCACTATATACGAGGTATTATTTCTTGAGAGTCCTGGAAGATTTAAGATTTACTTTATGTACTCTAAAATTGTCATTCATTAGCAAATTCAAAACACCAGATATTTCAGACAGAACAAAGACAGTGCTCTTCAGCAAGTACTAATTTCACAGGAAGTTTTAACTTCCAAGATTTATTATTTTAGCATAAGTCTCATTTGCAGTTATTTCATGCAGTTTTCTGCTTGAAAAAACAGTCTTAGCTTTAGGAGATAGTATATCTTGTCAGCTTTCATAATGCAAAAACATTGTGAAAGGTATTACTTGGCTTAAATACCTTGGAAGAGAATTTCTCCCCAAAGAAGTTTTGCAAAACTGGGAACTGAAATTCAGAACGGAAATAATTTTGCAGCCTGAATTGCAATGGAGGTGAACGGTATAGGTTGGAACATAAAATCCTTATTTCTGCTATTGCAATGCTGGAAGGCAGACGTTATTCACCAGAAAAGACAAACGTCATAAGCTCCAGCCAGTCAAAAAATAAAAAGGCTGGTTTCTAAAAGGTGGTTTTCTTTCATAAACAGTACTGTAATGGCTAAGTTATTCGGTAGAGCTGACTGACTGAGGCTCTCAATTGCTGCATTCCCTATG